GCTTAAAGTTCTATAACGATCGGTTTTATGAGTTTATATGTTTTGATGTACCGAAGGTAGTTCGGAGTCCCGGATATGATCACAGACATGATGAGGAGTCTCGAAATGGTCGAGACATAAAGATTGATATATTGGAAGCCTTCATGTGGACATCGGAATAGTTCCGGGTGAAATCGGGATTTTACCGGAGTACCGAAGGGGTTACCGGACCCCCCCCTCCCCGAGGGGGGGGGGCTAATGGGCCTTGTTGGGCCATACGGGAAAGAGAGAGGGGCCGACCTAGGGCAGGCAGCGCGCCCCCTTCCCCCTGTTTGAATTGGACTAGGAGAAGGGGGGCGGCGCCCCCCCTTTTCCTTCTCTTTCTCTCCCTGCCTTTCCCCCTCCTGGTAGGAGTAGGAAAGGGAGGAATCCTACTCCTACTAGGAGGAGGATTCCTCCTCCTAGGCGCGCCAACAAGGGCCGGCCGGCCTCCCCCTTGCTCCTTTATATACAGGGCAGGGGGGCACCTCTAGACACACAAGTTGATCACAAAGATCTCTCCCAGCCGTGTGCGGTGCCCCCTCCACCATAATCCACCTCGGTCATACTGTAGCGGTGTTCAGGCGAAGCCCTGCTGCGGTAGCTTCATCAACATCGTCAACACGCCGCTGTGATGACGAAACTCTTCCCCGAGCTCTACTGGATCGTGAGTTCGCGGGACGTCACCGAGCTAAACATGTGCTGAATGCGGAGGTGACGTACGTTCGGTACTGAGGATCGGTCGATCGTGAAGATGTACGACTACATCAACTGCGTTGTCATAATGCTTCCGCTTAACGGTCTACGAGGGTACGTGGACAACACTCTCCCCTCTCGTTGCTATGTATCACCATGATCCCGTGTGTGCGTAGAATTTTTTTTTGAAATTACTACGTTCCCCAACAGTTGTGTCCTTGTTGAAGGTGGTGGATTGAAGCTTTGCTTTGGGGATGAGAATCCGAAGTTCAACTTTGTGGTGGACTCGCCATCATCCGCGCACGTGCGGCGATTCCTTCTTGAAGGCGTAGCCTATGAGTTGTGTATTTTTCATGTATGATGTGTCTTGTATCATAGGGTTAGTGTTATCTGGGGGTGTTACTGTCGCGAGGTATATGGCCTTAGTGTTTGTTTTCCGTTTTTTTCCGGAACGATGGTGTTCGGCTGCTGGATTTTGCTCTATTAATAATATATGGCTGCATGCATCGTCCTGAAGCAGAGGCCGGGGATTATCCTCCTTCTAAAAAAATGTTATTAGGGCTTCAGAGGGTTATAATCCTTAGTTTTTTTATATTGGTTGTTTGATTTGTGGGAGTTTTTTGAGGGATTGAATCCTAATGAGATTTGTGGGATTGAATCCTATATGAGGTTTTCCTAATAAATCATTTGCACTATATTTCATATAGAAAATTTAGCATTTATTCAAACATTTCTATATAATATCTTTATTTTCTCTGTGGCATCGAACACTTTTTTGGTTTAAATTATTGCGGTTTGTTAATTCTATAGGGTTTAAGGATCATGTCATTCAAATACTATATATTTTATAATTTTTTCTTATGGTTAATCACAGGGGCGTTTAGATTTCCCTTGTGCGTTCTATGCGTTTCCTACATTTCTTGCAAAACAAATCCCTGCCGTCATTTCGAAGTGGCGGTCCTAAAAAAACTGAACATATAGCCCTCAAAAAATGAACACATGAACATACGGACTACTACCATTCCCGCGACTCGTTCTGAAACGACACGAACGAGCTTAGCTGTCACCATCGGTATGGCCGCCAAAAAGTAGGTGAGATCAACTCAAAGAAAAAAAGCCGGTGAGATTCCCGGACTGTTGCCTGTGGACGCGGCGCACCTTTTTTCTTCTTCCATATCCTCACCGCTGGTCGGCATCGTCTCGTCGGTATGCATGCAGACGAAGTGCAGTGCCACTGCCACCCAAGTGTGTGTGTGAGGTGATACCAGATGAGATCATGAGATTCGTCAACGAACGCCTATCATTTTCCTTCTTTTCACGGGAACTTCCGCGGGGCAAAGCTACACTGACCTTTCTATCGAGGTAAAACCACGAACTGCAAAAGACGTCTTATTTCTCTGTCATTTTTCCTTCTTTTGTTCGATTGAGGAGCACAGTCTATCTTTTTTCAATCACGTAAGTTTTACGGCAATTGACGATGTAAAACCAGACTGCCTTACCTTTTTTTTTTTCGAGGGTACGCAAATTGCGTACCATAGCTTTATAGAAGGAGAGAAAAAGTACATGACATCTATCACTCGCTGCGAACAACGAGCGTAGCACAACACCACCTCCGACTATCTCAGGACAGCCACACACAACAACACAACTAGAACACGGAAAAGCCTGCCCAGAACCGAAACACCTCGCCGCGTCTTAATCGACACAGAACACCTCCGAAGAATAGCAACTCCAGCTTCCTTTGGATTCATCCGCGACGACCATACATAGCGCCGGAGGAGAGCGGTCAGGGCCACGACGAGCACCGGAGTAGCGCCAACAGGAAACTCGGTCTCCTCGCACGATGCTCCCAACAGAGAAACGACGTCGCAGACGCCGCCATCATGCCGCTCCAGAGGACCAAGGCTTTCGCCCGGAGACAACTGCCAACACCAAGCACGAGGGAGATGGCGACACACTCGACGTCGCCTCCAGAGAGGGGAATGACACCCGCGGGTGCCATCGACGCCGGCCGGCCAAAACCGGACAGGATTTTCATCCGTAATGTTGCACATCTCCACTCCGACGAGGTACCGGGCAGCATCGTTTCTGAAGCCTCGCACCGCCGCCACCGCAGCAAATCCGCCGAAGCCGCGTAGCCGTGGTCCAACACCACCCGCACTGCCGAGAGAGCGCGAACCAGACCTCCACCAACATCGCCGTCGAGAAGCAACCACCTCCTCCAAGCGGAGCAAAAGCCGGATCCGCTCCATCGGCCTTCATCGACACCGAGAGACTGCCGCTAGATTGGATCTCGCCCGCCCCTCCAACCTCACTCCGGCGCCATCTCCACCGGGGCATCGCCGCGATCCCCTCACACGGAGGCAGCCGGACGCCCGCTGCGCACCAGGACTCCTTCCTGGCAGGGCCATCTCGGCGCCGCCGCCTCCATGGCTGATCCAACGCCGCCGCCACCGCCGTTGCTAGCGCTCCACCTGCCGCCACCTACCGGAGGTGCTCCTCGCCATGATCCGGCGAATGCCCTCGCCGTGCCCTCCGCTGAGCCTCCAACCACACCGCGAGTCCCCGCGCCGTCCGCGAGAAGAAAGTCGTGGTCTTTCCACTGCCGCGCGGCGGAGCCAACCCCACAAGCCCAGATCGAAACGGATCTGGGGCTGGCCGCACCTCCATCCACAGCTCCGGCGCCAGCGCTTCCGGGGGCATCATCGCACACCCACCGCATGGAGATGGCCGACCGCCCGTTGCCCGCCAGGATCTCCTTCCTGGCAGGGCCTCCTCAGCGCCGCCACCTTCCTGGCAGAGCGCTCGCGCCGCCGCCGCCCACCAGCGCCAGCGCGCCGCCTTCTTCTTCCTCCTCCTCCGCACAGCAGCCTCCTGACCCGGTTCCTTCGCACCTCCGCGCTCTCCGACGTGCTCCGGCGACCAGCAACAAGATCACGCCACTGGCCACCCCACCTCCAAGGCTGGCCCCGGGGGAGACCCGCTCCGCGCGAAGGGGCCTGTCGTGGGGGCGTCGCCAGCACCCTCCGCCTTTGGCGGCCGGGGGAGGAGATCCGGCGGCTTCTGGTTTAGGGATTTGGGGGCCTCCGGAGCCGCACGCCCTGCCTTGCCATTTCCATTTTGCAAACTGAAGAGACAAGGCTGCGTGTGGAGAAATAAGTGAGGTGAGGTTATCCGCGCTCTCACGCGAGATCGACAACACTGTGCGAGATAAGGATGCTGCCCCAGAACGTAGTATGGATTGCACAATAATTCCATGGGCCAGGTAGGAGTAGTAGTACTGGAGAGCATGGATGCAAACCAGCTGGAAGATCACATGCGTGCCCCTCCATCTTGCATTCCATATTTGCAAGTGCAAAGGCGCATCACGGAATTTGGGCTGGCCACACCCGCACCACAGCTGTGCATCGCTGTCGCAAAGTGTTCAGGGGGAAATACCTTCACATGGACCGCGGAATGTCTATGCAGATCAAAGAAAAAAAAACATTCGTTGGCATTGGCAATTTTTTTTTTTGAGTTGTCATTGGCGGCTAAAGTCACGGGATGGGGAAATACTAGAAAGAAGACGACACATCGAGCAGCCAGGTAGTGGTTGAATTTACAGGAACGAAGCGCGTTTTCCTGAGGAGAAAAGAAATCTCATAATACAAGAAGAATAAGAGCACGTAGTCGATTTTGAGATCTTGTCGTATTTGTTTCTTTTCTTTCAAATTTATTCATTCTGGAGGTAGGGTGTCTCCGGCTGGAGCCTGCACGGCTGGTCATCATGTCATGTCTGTGCACTCCACCACTTCTTTTTTTCGCAAAAATGGTCGTGAAATGATTCCACAAACGGGGCCCAAAATGCTGAAAAACAATGGCATTGTATGATTTTTGAACAAAAAAATGGAGTGAGTATATGCTATCATGCTTACCGTTTCCAAGGACGCCGAAAAGGGGGTTCCCAACGTGGCAGTCGAGTCGCGCGCTGGAGACTTGACTCCCGCGCCAACCGCCGAGCACTCGGCCAGCCAACCGCTGAGCACTCGGCCAGCCAACCGCTTTCCGGTGCGCCCGCCACGCCGCCCCGGTAGATAACGATAGCCACCACTCACCACCACCACCACCAGGACGAAACCCTACTGCACAATCTCACCTCACCGCCCTCGCTGGCCGCGCCGAGGAGCCGCCACCTTTAAAGCCAGCCGAGCCGCCCACAGCCCACCAGTCCAGTCCAGTCCACCACCACACCGCGCACTCCGCACTCCCTCCCACGCCGCCCCCGCACTCGAGCACGAGCACCCGCCATGGCGCGCCCCGCCCACGCCGTCGTCGCGGCGGTCCTGACCGTCGTCCTCGCGCTGGCGTCCGGCGCGGCGTCGCAGGCGCCGGCGGCGGGGCCGGCGGGGCCGGCGGGGGACTGCGGCTCCGCGCTGACGGGCCTCGCCGGCTGCCTCCCCTACATCTCGCCGGGGGCCGCGCAGGGCAAGCCGCCCAAGGAGTGCTGCGCCGGCGTCAAGGCCGCGCTCGCCAGCCCCGCCAGCGTCGCCTGCCTCTGCGACGCCTTCGGCAAGGACTACGGCATCCCCATGAACCTCACCCGCGCCAAGGGCCTCCCCGCCGCCTGCGGCGGCAACCCGGCCGCCCTCAGCAACTGCAGCCGTGAGCCATCTCCCCTTAGCGCCATCTTGTTCTGATTCCCTTTTCTTTTCCTCGTGTCGATTTGTGATCTGTCACATGTGGTGTTGGTCTGACTTTGTTTTTGGCTCTCCTGCAGTGAAACTGCCCGGCGGAGCCCCTAACGGCGCCCCTACTGAAGGTAATTACCCCCTCTTTTCTCCTTTGCAGCTCGTACATTTTGAATCCCTCTCTTTGTTCCTGTAGATCCGTGAAAAAGGAAAACGTTAATTAGATCTAATCAAGACATGCTCCGACCTGAATGGTTAAAGAACAATCAAGAGCTAGAGTCGATTTCTCCCTACCTCCATTTTCCACTCTGAGATCAAGGGGAAAACGTATGAATGTGTCCATGGGCATTGACATCAATGCTTTCGTGGGCTACAGAGAATTTTTATGGATTCCTCTGGCATCTAGAGTACAGCAGGACTATCTTTCAGTGGTCTGCATGTGAAAAAACAGAACATTTTGTGTTGTTGAGAATCTCCACTTAATAAAAACATGACAAAAGATAATGTTTTTCTTTGGAGATTCATAAAGAAGAATGAAATTGGCACATACTAGCAGACCTTCAAGCTATTAATTTCTACTGTAAACGAAGACATCACTAATCAAGTATTGCTGTCATGGTGGTGGTTCCTTTCAATGTCATCGCAATGTTACATGAGGGTTGACAGCCAGATGTACTGCATCACGCTCACAACAGAATTGGCAAACCATTATGATGGATAGCAACCACTAAATGATCGAAAGCGCCAATTGTGGCTTCCAATTAGTGATAGAATGTGTGAGATGCTAAAAGATACTGTATGATTTGTGTACATGCATCAGTTTGTATTAAATTCACCGTCAGGGATTGTTCATCGGTGTGAAGCTGATGAGGGACTGATAGAGGAAAACCACCACCCGTTTACTTTATTGCCTGAAGTCCTGAATTGAAACGAATGTTGGTTTCTGCTTTTCTGTCCTCTGAATCTTACTTCCATTTCTCTATACTGAAATCAAAATGCATCTTGCAGCACCTACACCAACTTCTGGATCAACCCCAGCAACCATCAGCCCAAGCCCAGCGAAATCGGCAGCGACCAGGTCTCCCGTCTCGGCGGCAACCCTCCTCCTAGCCGCGGTGTTGGCGCCTCTGCTCTCCTACTACTACCTCTGAAGATCCATGGCATGGTTTGTTCCATGAATTACTGTGATGTGTATGGGCATTGCGCCACGATTTAGTGACTACTTTGTGGAGAGAACTTATTCTGCTAGCTGTTCGGTTTAGCTTACTGTTGCCTGAACTACGAATTCTTATTGGCACCAAGTAGTTGTACTATATTTGCATGGTGTCTTGCGAATAAAGTTGATAAATGCCGTAGCTAGTGTTGTGCCGATTGATCTTCATGCGGCGCTCTGGTCCTGGCTGGATCGGTGTGCTTGGTGTTAGATTGGTATACAATGTGGAGCAGAGCAGATGCACGAGGGAAAAATTCTGTCAATGAAACAACACTTCCACCAGATGATCGATACCGCAGAGAATTGCAGAACAAATAGAGGGGATTGTTTGGGAGCAAGCACATCATTTGAGTTGCAGTAACACAGCTAGTGAAGATCTGCGATCATGTTCAGAGAGTTGGGTGCGCGTTTCCTTCTTGTCATATCCACGGATGTTCAGTTGCTTTGCGCCATTTGTCCTTCCCTTTCTTCCTCTCGTTCGCTGGCCCGATGAGGACCAGACCTACTTTTTTCGCTAGATGATCATGTGGGTCTGTCGAACGGTGCTTGATGGGGCCCATGTAACCCCGATCATATATAGAAGGGATACGTTCTACTCGAAAAAAAGAAGAAGAAGGGATGGGCATCAAAGAAATCTAGAAGGAGCGTGGTTTTTTGGTTCATGTGCGGAAATCATATTTCTAGGTTTCAAAAAGTTCTGATACAAATGCACATGAACATAGAGACGTATGCTACATCTCTGTAAAATTTCATGAAAGAACACACTTGCTCTGAGCTGGACAAAAAAAAAAAGAACCCCCGTAATGCCTGAGCGTTCGGGATTTGACCATGGCAAATCGACCATGCATAGTGTATTTTTGCCAGAAAATTGTCGTGTGTGTATACTAAACTTGCCATCTGCATGTCATTAAAATTGCCATCGAAAACATTCGATTTGCTATGGTGAAATCCCAAACGTTCGGGATTTATTATTTCCGATAAAAAAAACCCTGTACTTATAGCACATGCACTATTCACTACAAAAGATCATTGTTTTGTTCTTTTTGTGCACAAAATTGCTTCACGGACGACTGATCCCGCACGATCTCCGAACGATACTGCTCCCGCAACTGCGCTCCTGCATGTACGCTTGCTGCTCGTGCTACCACATACGAATCGTGCAGGCATCGGCCGCTCATTCTTTAGAGGCAGGGGCCGGCCCTAGCACTTCAGAGAGCCTAGTGCGAACCGAATGAAGAAGAAGATTAAGGTGGTGATAGAACCAAACGAATCATTAAATTTCCAGGGCCTGGCTTCTTCAGGACTTGTGGCAGGCAATCAATGGCTCTCTTGCACCAACATTTTTACCCACCAGATATTATGGAGATCACAAAAATAAAGGCGTCGTGTCGAATGGAGGAAGACTTTGTAGCCTGGCACCTGGACAAACGTGGCATTTTTTCAGTTAAAAGCGCTTATTATCTGGGTCTTCAGGAGATGCCGATGATGCAGAACATGGGATCCTCGAGCTCTAGGCCGGACGGGCGCCGGCCGGCTTGGGACCTTATTTGGAAGAACCCGGCTCCACCGAAGGTCCGTATCTTTGCCTGGAAGGCAGCCTTAGAAGCACTGGCTACAGAGGAGTACCAATGTCGTCTACATATTTCTCAGTCAGTAATCTGTACAGTATGCGGTAATGCTATGGAAGATGCCCATCATGCTCTGATTTGGTGCCCACATGCTGCTGGCCTTTGGAATGCTATGCGGGAGGAATGGGACATTCCTAAAGCTGACCAACTCAAGGATGGTGCCCCTGATTGGTTGTTCAGGTTGCTTGAGAAATTATCAGATACCCAGCGACTTATATGCCTCATGATCATGTGGCGAGCCTGGCATGTACGCAATGAGGTGACCCATCAGAAGCCGTTTATCCCTATTGCAAAATCAAGGCGATTTTTGTCCAGCTATATCACCTCCCTCCTGGCACTACAACAACACCCTCATGAGGACCAGATCAAGGGGAAAGGTGTGATTAAGCTAGGCGGTGTCAAACATGTCCATCAAGAGCCTATACCGCATATAGAGAAGTGGAGACCTCCGGAACCGGGTACTGCCAAGCTCAACGTTGATGGGGTGTATGTGGCGGAGAATGGTTCTGCAGGCGCAGGTATGATCCTTCGAGACCACTCAAGGGCTGTCATCTTTGCTGCGATCCGTGCGCTGCCATCCTGCACTGGAGCGCTTGAAGCCGAGCTTGCCGCAATCCAGGAGGGAATTCATCTCGCTCTGAGTTGGACGGATCTCGATTTTGTTGTCGAGTCTGACTGCGCTGAAGCCATCACAATGTTATCGTCGCCAAGAAAGGATCGATCACCACATGCATATCGTGTGAATGAGATTAGAAATCTTATTTTTGGAGGAAGGAGGATAGAACTTGTTAAGGTTAGGCGGGATGTTAATGTTGCTAGTCATAGCCTCGCTTACATGGGACGATCGCAACAACGCACTGCATGTTGGCTGCGTAGTACCCCCAAGGAAATTGCTAGCGTTGTGAATGCCGATTGTAACCTTATTCCTTAATCAATAGAATCCCTTTCCACGCAAAAAAAAAAAAAATGGGGAGAAGGAAGGAGGCGGATACTCAAGAAGAAAGAGAGATTTTGGCGCTTCTTGGAAAAGAGAGATTGTGCATTTTTATACTAGTACTCGAGTCCATGGCTGGATAATAACTGTAGTATATACACACAGGAGACCTAGGTCAAGGGCCGGCCCTGGTCACAGGGGACCTCACTTGCCGCAGTCGCTCGGCTGGCTGAGGATTGCTGGCGCCGGGTGATGCAGAAGGATCATCCGTAGCCACCGACTCTATTTTTCCAAAGGTTAGAGCATCTTCAGCAGTTGGCTCCTCAGACGGTGATTTTACGTGTCCTCTAGAGGCGAGCCGGCGTTTAAATCGGCGCGGGGGCGAGCGGATTCCCAGCCGCTCGTCCTAGGGTCGCCTGGGACGCGTTTTTTTTAAAAAAAAGCTGAATTTGACGAAGTTCGGCTAAAATTCTATAAACTTGATATTCATATTAAACATGTTCGGCGTTTTACATAAATTATTTAAAAAAACAAATCTATGGGGGCGAAGAACTCAATTAGTGCAGCGAAGTCGCCGACGTCGCTGCCGTCCTCGTCGTCGGCGGCGGCCTTCTCCTTCTTGACCCCTGCCTGACGTCTCCCTGGCGGACAGGCGGCGGCGGCGCGTCGTCTTCGTCGTTGTCGTCGATAACGACGATGCCTCACTCCTCCCGGCCACAGCGACGAGTTTCGAACCGCGTGAGGGCGGCGCGCTGGCGTACTGCGGGGAGGCGCGCTGCTCATCAGTCAGCGACGACCGAACGCGGTCGACCTCGCCGGTGAAGAGATCGAGGCGCGCGACGATGTCCGGCAGGGGGGATGGGGACGCCTCCGGCGCTGAGCCTCCATCCTGTCGGCCCAGCACGCATGTCTGAAGGCGTCGGAATGTTCGCCTCGAAAAGCATGTAGGCCTCCCACGTTTGCAGTGAGCGGCGGCCGAAGCCGTTGGCCGCCGCTCCGTCGCCGGGGAATCGCTCGCACATTGTTGTGGTGGATGGGCTGGGAGAGAGGAGAGGATCGTCGGCGACGCAGAGAGACACAGAGGTTCGTCGGCGGAGAGAGAGAGAGAGAGCACGGCGTCTGTGGCAACAGCGGGGTGGGGGCGCTTTTTATAGCCGCCGGGGAGGCGTGTGTACGCGGGGATGGGGCGGCGACGCGCCGCCCGTGAAGAGCCGCCCCGTGAGGAATCAATGGAAGGCTGACCGGCCGCAGCCTTGGCATTGATTCCCTGCGGGAAAACGAGGCGTTCGCAGGACGACGAGGCGAGTGTCGCTGACTCGGCGGGCCTACCACTCTTTCGCGCCAAAACCATTTCACCTGGCGCCCCCGAGCGGCCCCCAGCGCGTCGGGTTCGGCCTGGGTTCGCCGGCGTCGAATTCAATCCGAGCCGGCGAAAATTGGGTTTCTGGGGGTGCGACTGGGCCGATTTTTGTGCGTCGGCGCGAAAAAAACGCCTGAAAAAGGCGTGTTGGGGGCTCGGCTGAAGATGCTTTTAGAGTGCGGCTATACGACTCCGGCTCGAACTTGCTTGATCAAACTGAGAATTCCTTAATATAATTTTGTGCCTGATTAGATCGAATCGGAAACAAAACCACATCCTTCCTTATATAATCCGATGCCCGTTGTTTAAGTTCCGCTCAAAGTCCCAGACGATTCATACGCTCTCATCTCCTGCAAATCAAAAGGCTTCTGTGAATTATTTACCCAAAACCATTATATTTAAGATTAAGGTAATAATTTGATATCGGATTGAAAATAGGACACAAAAACCATCAGAATTGTGTCTAATGTGTAACACGGAGCATTGATGCTGGGATCTGACTGTGATAACAGCCAAGCCGACAGGTAGGTCCTGCCTATCGGGCTGACGTGGCGGAGACCGAGCATAAAAAAAGTATTGACCAGGTGAGGCGGCACGCGAGATGCATGCCCCGCCTGTCATTGACTACGTGATCATCTTCATCTCATCTTTATTTCCTTTGAGCAATGCATCGAGCAGCTTGTGTGCGGTCGAGCCACCTCTGTCCATGCGAGACGAGAGCTTCATGGCCATGGCAGCCCCTGCTCAAGCTAGCCCCGTCCGCCTCAGACTCTTCCCCGCATGCCATGAACCCTTAAATCCCGCCGCCGCCCTGCTGGCATGGACAGCCGAGCCGAGAGCTCCATGGCCACCATGGCAATGGCATGCCGCCGTCCTCCTTCCCCGTCTCTCTCCTTGCCGAGTGGCGGCGCCCACCTATCGTCACCCGCCGTCACGCCATGGAGAGAAAGACGAGCCGCCGCCGCCCTGCTGGCATGGACAGCCGAGCCGAGAGCTCCATGGCCACCATGGCAACG